TTAAAATTGCCAGTTAGTATTCATATAGAATGTCTTTAAAAGCTCAGCTTTAGGCCCTCCCTGGTGGCACAGTGAGTTAAAGCACAGCACTAAGAAGCTTAAGTCACTTCTGCATGAGTTCGATTCCCGCCTGCCCCGAAGGTGACCACATGGCACGGCAGACCTCTCCTGACCCTCCCGCTGCTCCCCTCAGCAGTGTATGTCGTCAATCTGTCTGTTCAGCTCCCCACTCCGTCTCTGGTGAAGCCTCCTGCCATCCCTGAGCCTCTGGCCTGTATCCCAGTTCTGTATGCACAAATAAATAAATCTTTAAAAAAAAATGAAGTTTTGAATATGAACTCTTCTAACAATTCTGAAGAACTGTTCTAATCTTTAATAGGGATCTACTCCCAAATGACTATTTTTATCTTAGTCCTTATTAACATCAAGGAGTTGTATATGTGTTAACATCAAGGAATAACTGGAATGCCATTTCTACTTTTAAGCTATTCAAACCAAGTTTTCTATTTAGGATTTAAAAAAAATGTTTGGGAACATAAAGCAATATCTGGTAGAATGAGTTGTTAAGTCTGGTAACAGTAAGAGTGGCCAAAGGCTAGAGTCTAGCAGACCCACGCTGAGTGATACTATGTAGGAACCTGTAACTAAAAGTGCTCTCAGACTTCCTGATAGGGTAAACTTAGTACTTACTGCCCATTCACATCCATTATAGTTGTTCATATATTGCTATTCTCCACCCCGCAAAATTAATACAGTAGGCACTCGTAAAGAATGGCTCAACTGTTTTCCATATAATCAGAATGTTATTTCTGTGGACCACAAGGTATCAGTTGATAGAACTATGTATGAAAAACTCCCAGTAAGTGCCAGCCATCTCAGGATGCTCTTCTGCTCTATTCACTACTCTGTCCTTGGCATCTTTGAATGCCTAATGGGTAGGTGCCAATGTTTTATGTTCCCAAGCATTCTATAATATGACACCTGCAAAATGTGTTTCTTCCCATGAATAGAAAGTGAAGAATCTATTTCCGGCACTAAGTCTTCCAGTATGTTTCTTCATTTTAAAGACATTTTGAAAGTATTGAGTGTAACCAGATATGGGCAGTAACGCAACGGCTACCTGTGTGACCATATATGGGCAACAGCACAATGACCAGGACCCAGGCCTTACATCCAGGTGTACAGCACCATATCAGCTTTCTAGAATCTGAACCTAAAGCCTATACAAGAGACTCTTTCTCCTACAGCACTCACAGTAGCTGTGGACACTACCCTAGGGAGCTCCGTCTCAGCTGCTGCCCAGGAGCAATAACCACTACTTTTTCAGCCTTTCTGCCTCCCATATTTCTTCCTTGTGGCCGGTCACAGAAATTGGAACAAAACAGAAAGAAGTATGGGTAGGTGCAAGGAGAAATGATACATACAATTAACCAGTAAGTACAGATGGTTTCTAATAGTGATAAATGCTATAATGATACTTAGAAAAAAGTACTGTGATAGAACTAGGTCGAAGCTAGGGATGATGAGTGAACTGAGCATTCAGAGAGCTTCTCTGAGAAGGTGATACTAGAGTAAAGCTACAATGACTAGATAGAGTCGGGTTTGAAAGGTCCTGAGCAGGGTGAAGTAGGCAGAGAACAGCAAATGTAAAGGTTGTGCCATAGCTGAGAGAAGAAAGCCAGTTTGCTTGGCTGCCATCCTTGTTACTGTTAGATCTCCAGATGATGTCAAATAAACAGTGGACTGGGAAATTTGAAGCTCAGTGGAGAAATCAGGGATGGAGATAAAAATTTGGACTGCAGGATTTCAAAGGTGTTGTAAACCACAAAATTGAAATATCCTCTCTGAAAAAAGTGAAGGGAGATCAGGGCTGGCCTGAGCAGGCTAGTAAGAGGGGAGGGGACATGAAGAGTTGGAGTGTAAAGGAAGCTGAGGGGAGTGTTCTTATGTTTATTTTGCTCTAGACTTCCCTGTCTTTAAAAAAGCATCTAGTAGTAACTTAAGAGTACTAACTACTTTTACTTTTCCTGCAGGTGGTACTATAGTTTTGTTTTCTTTGGGGGAGGAACTTTACTATCTTCTGTAGGTGCTAAAATCTGATTTTTGCAGTTTCATGGTTAGCAGGGTGGTGGAGGCCTAGAAGTGTGGCTGGCTGAGCTTGTAGCTCTGCACTTCCAGATCTGTGACACAGACTGTCCTTACTGTCAGTCTTGGGAGTGGCTGGATGAGGGGTACAGCATAGAGCACATTCTTTGATCGCTCACAGGGAATTTTGGCCTATGTGGAAGGCCCCAGCTTCTCCACACCTCTCCCCTAGATGGAGTGTGTATGTTTCCACACTCCCCTCCCACCAGGCCTCCTGGCTGAATGGCAGCCCCACTGTCTGTATCCCCCTGCTCTGGAGCACAGCTTCCAGGTACTTTTCTCCCCCACTTCCTGCTCAGTGTGGCATAACTTTTTTGTCTGTCTCCTCTTCTCTGTTCACCATCTGTGTTACTGTCTAATGCCCAAGAGATGTCCCAGTATTGTTCCAAGCTACAGGACACTTTGGTGTAGTGTCCCTCTGATGAACTGTGAGGTGATCCTCTCAGTAGTGAAGCAAGGATCCTGTTTCACCATATTGGTTCTTCATTATGATTTGATTTGATTAAAATGACTTATTGAGCACCTAATGTATGAGCATTAATTTCCTGTGGTAACTGTGACAATTTATCATAAACTGGGTAGCTTAGGGGAAAGCTTCTCTGTAGATTTCTGATTGTTTAACACCCTTTTTCATTTTGTCCTGTTTCTGTCTCTCTGAGTCCAAACTGGGAGGGTATCTGCCTTACATAACAATCTCAAAATCTCGTAAGTCTCTTGTGTATGTCAAGTGGATTCATGATATTAGACATTTCCTGATGATTTCATCCTAATTCTTGGCTTCTGCTGAGATGACTTAGGGAATCCATGAGATACACATTCAGTCTTTTCATGGAACACTTTGTGTGAGGAAGTACTCCGACCTTGCAATCCTCACAGAGCATGAGCCATGATTGTCTACCTACACCCTGGTGTTCTCTTCAGAGTACGCTTTCCTAATATTGATGTTAGCATCTTTTGTTGTCTGGATTGACTGA